TCGCCGGATCCTCGATCCTCGCTCTCGTTAATTGAGTAAGGTAAACTAGTAATAAATCAAGAAGACATGTTTAAGTGCATGCGTAACATATTCATCCTCAATCAGGAGATTAGATCGATGTGCGGAACACTTCAGATGGCCGTCAGCCACATACAGGCTGACCCCGATCTCCGGTCACCCCGAATGGCAACTCGATATTAGTTGTATGGCTCTTTATAAAGTTGAGAAAACCATAGGAAATCTGCAGCAGGGGAGAGAAGCGGTCCTAATAGATTGATCTCTGAAATTTTTAACGATAGCGATTCAGTTTTAGCAGCTAGAATGACTTATATCTAAGGGAGAATTTGGGAACTGGACGTAATCCCCTCCGACTGGTCTCAATCCCTGATTGTTTCAATCACAACGTAGAACTTCGTACATGCTTATATCATTCAAGAACGCCATTTCACATTCGCACTTGCCTACTGTTTGATGTGTGAATGTGAACCTATTCAGTGAGGCATAGTATAGGAATCACTAGGTTCCCTATTGTAGACCAAGTAACATTCAGTGTACTAACCTTTATGCACACGTTTCTGAATACCTCTCAAGCTGTCTTGATGGAGACATCCTAGTTCTGTTGTCCAGTCCACTAGGGCTTCCAAATATATAGGGTTATCGTATATGCGCTCTCCAAATATTTGGGCTAATCTGAGCTAACATTTCTTTATTACTAGCTACATGGAAATCAAAGACTAATACTGTCATGCTTAATAAGGGGTTTAATAAAATCAAAATTCAAGATGCCGTCCTCATTTTGAGTTATTGCTATATTTGTTGTAGTCGTATCCCAGTCCACATTGTATCTAGTTACTTCTTATATACGTTGCGCTAAAGCACTTTTAATAATAGCCACAGCCCATTTGTGTTTGTCAGAATATTCTGACAATTCAGTCTTTGAGTCTTCTTAGAGTACTGAAGGTGCATTTAACTCCCCCGACTGACGATGACAGCTTCCTGAGGAAGCTCCCGGCATTTGTGTAGGAGACCATAAGACAATTTAAATGACTTCATTCTACAGCATAAGCGGCTCTGGCATCATTCTTTATTCCAGTCTCGTCAATCGAAAATTTACAGCCTTAAGGTCATCTTCGCCAGCATCTAACCTTAGGTTTTTATTGTTTATCGGTCTCACAGTTTCTGATAGAGTTCTTGACTGATAAGTATTTACGCATAAAATCGTTTCATCCCTTCAGTTAACGTCCATTCTGTAGTAGTAGGCCTCTTTCACTGAGGGATTTAGGTACAGATTTAAGCAACCTTATTCGATTTTCTTGTGAAGGTGCAAGTATTCCTGGGTTACAACCTTTTATCATGGTGACTCTGAGGACATCTTGAGCCATTATCATATTGACTGGTGCGTTCACCAACCCAATGTCAAGTCTTCGGTTTCGTTAATGATGTTGTAGGAAATGGTATTTCTTCAAACATATTTGACTGTTTCTTTTCCATGACTTGTATCCATGCCTAAGCTTTCTCTAGAGTCAGAACCCAGAGTGAGATTCTGTGTCACGGATTACTACTTAATTAGTCGGATCGATTAGTATGCTGGAGGTGGATCTAGCTTCACTACAAGGTTTCTGAGGCGTTACATGGTTTCAACCACCTACAGGACGGGGAACTGAAGATACTTGCTATCTAGATATCGCTTTTTATTATTTTATTTTATTTATTTTATTTTAGTTTTTTATTACGATTTCACCTTAGTCGGTAATCGAGAGCCAAGACAATTGATCCATTGACACGATATCCTACTGTAATCCGTTGCCTCGTCTAAATGAAGAAAGAAGTTTTGACAAGACATGGAAAGTTTATTCTACAAGCACCCAGAAAGTATGAGGTTTTGTACAGAAGAAGAAGAGGAGCAAAAATCTTTACAGACAATGATGATTTATGCATCGACCGTGAATACTAACCAATAGTAAAGAACATTTGAAAGTATGTGAACTTGACAGTTTAGGACGACCTTAAATATTGACCAATAGGGATCGACCGATGGAATTAGACGTTCAAAATAATTTCTTTAGGTTATTTGATGAATATGCTAACATTTGAATATTTAATGAACAAAGTAATACAAAATTAATTACTCAATAATTTAATTGGCGTATATTTCGATTTATCATCTTTTCGTCCAAAATTTGTGCTTGGTTGAATAATACGGAAAATTATGTCATTTGAAAGTGTTCTAAAATGAATAGTTTTGTTAGAAATTTTTGAGGACCATAGATACCCAGATTCCACACGATAAAGGTCCTAATTTTGGGCTTTATGTTTTCGAGCATGTGCTGATCATTTGACCTTGAGATTACATTTACCCAGTCGGAAAATTCTTGACTACTAATGGTTGATGTATTGTTTTAGTACGGTATTTTTGTGCCTCCCTCAGCGACGTTTCTATCACGTATAAATAGACTCGATTTGTGTGCTTGTCGACCTCGTATTTTCTGGGTGCTTGTGCAATACACTTTTTACGCCTCATCAGGAATTCTTATTCCAGTTAGCCAGGCCGGGGACAAACGGACTAGAATAGCTTATCGTGCCACTGTATCATTTGTCTTCGGTCTCGTTTACAGAGTTAGGTGAACTCGTAATAGTGCATGCCCACCAGTTGACGAGCATATCAGATTTATAAAAATTAAGTTTATATACAGAACAAATAGAATGTGACTTGTACTGAAATCCAGGACTTGCATTTCACTTTTTCTGACACTCATCAATTAGATTTACCTGCATCTCAGAGTTGATGTTTTATCTAGGATTCTAGTGGACAGTCAACTCTGTGATGCAGGTACATCCAAATGATGGTGGTCGAATAGAATGAAACACTCGTTTTGGATTTCACTGCCAGCTACATTCTATCTATTCTACATAAACTTGTGTCATATTGTCTGTATAGAAGCAATCCATATAGCATGCCAACATGTCAACCATGACTGATGAAATTTCAGTCAGAATATCAACAACCGAATAACTCAAACCACTTAAAATTGAGTGAAACTAAAACGATTGTTATACACAACAAATTTCAGTAAATAATATATAAATCTAGTCTATATTGATTTTCATAAGCAGATTGAATCATCAACTTTGAACGAGATTATTGTGTTTTTACTGGCTTCTGTAATTTTCATCTACGTTTCAAATAAAAAAATTGTTGATATCTTAAGGTGATACACTTCAATAAAACGTAAATATATAGTTATTATTTGGCATACAAAAATTAAAAATCTCATTAAAACCAAAGTACATATTAAAAATAATAGATCTGTTTATCAATTCAAAAGTTAATAATAACAAGTTAACCAGAAGATGTTTAAATGAATCAAATTGTGAATTTATCATCATTCAAAAACCTATTAAATCTGAGCAAATTAGTAGCTCGGGTGAATGATTATGAGGCAGTTTCGTTATCTGAGCTGGATGATTTAGCCGTATTGTTCGCAGATAATGACAGGTGATAAGTCAACAATAACCAATCAAGATCATGGTCGAAACGACAAACTGATAGTCATATGTGGAGACGTTCGAACACTTCTTTCCTACCTGAAATTTACGATGACGATGCTGTTAAGAAGGGCAACGAAAGCCTCATGATCAAAACAGTATAACTCAGAAAATGAAACTCCACTATGATGATGTCCATTTAGTTATTATCGACTTATCTGTACAACTCTCAACTTTATCATAGTCAATGAGGGTGAGGTACAGTGGTGAAATCCATTCAACTGATTGTTCCGCAATGATTCATAGTGTCCTGATTTAGTCGGTTTGCGATCGATATTTAAGGAATCCAGCTGGTTGATCTAGAAGTTGAAAGCCTATTGAATCTTTCATTTGGTTTAGCAACACTCTTTTGAGGAATTTACCTGGTATTGAGAAAACAGTGAAGCCCCTAATATTGACTTAATCTACAAATCAGTGTAACAAAGTGGTAGCTATTTTAAAAGCACTTAATTCGGACAAAAAACTAATACCTTAGCACGTAGTAATAATACTTACAGATACATATACACATACCCATTTCTCATTAACTTCAAAATACAACATTGTTGCATATTGAAATTTGATTACTCTTGGTTGATGTGCCATCATCCTATGAGAATAGCTTTGACGTAACCAGTTCGACACCAGTTCACCTGGGATAACGAGATGGTATTTCAGGAGAACGGTACTAGATTCCAGTCCAAAAGTAAACTACAACTCTGAGTTACAGCAGCATCTAGCTGATAAGTCTCAAACTGGATGGAACGCCTATCCTAGATTCCATCGCTTACTTCACTCTTTCTATTTTATATGGAAGTAAATTGTTTGACTGGAATAAGTTTCAACACACGGTCAAAAAATCTCATTACTTACTTACTTACTTACGCCTTTTACCCCTAATAAAGCACAGACCACTGACCAGCAAATTACTTTCCGGTTAGAGTTTTTTCCGAAGGGTTGGATTTATACGGGAAAGCGTGACTAACGCTATGCCCGGCATCCACTCCAGGATGGCTTCAGGAGAAGTTCTAATTTTGTATATTGAAAAATTATTTCTTACACAATATTTTTTAAGGTTTTAACAAATTAACATTGGTATATTAGAGATTAGGAATTCTTATCAGGCCCAGTTGCAGACTTTTGTAGTGGATACTACTTGTAAAGTGGTTCATAAGTAGTATAAAGTGGCATGTTACCCAGAAGCTGCTACCAAAGAGAATAGTGTCAGATTAAATTGCATAATCCGATCAAAATGTTATCAAAACCAGAAAACATGTGAAAAAGACAGTTACTTTCATCGAACTTATTTAGCAAGTGGAAATCTGTAGATTAGGTGTATATATTTCGTTAGTAAACTGTGTCTTCATTCAGCTTATCATCATCTCATCTGATCTTAATATTTTCGTTGAATACACTTTGATAAAATAGGTTACCACTGACAAAATACTCAGGGATTAACAGATATGGCACAGTAAACTAAAGTAGAAAAATACACGGTTACATTCAAAACTCTAGAGACAGATTTTCTCATTTATTTGTAGCAAAACTGGGGTGCAGTTTAATGTTTACATTATGAAATGTAATAGAATATACACTGATGAACGATGTATAATGGATTCCAATTATACAATAATTAAAACAAAACAATCATCAAAAATCAGATTTTATTCATAAACACTTTTTGTTCAACATCCATTATTTGTTTATCTGAATAAATGAGTCATAAAAAAAATTCCAGCACTATAATCAAAGATGAGTTATTTGTGTAAATTTGGTAAACCAGCTGTTACCATTGACTCAATTCCACATTCATTGGTACCTCGTAAAATTTTGAAATAACCTTTATCACCCCATTCATTATTCCATGAATTAGCGCATAACCAATAAGGAATATGATTTTTATGAACACCCCAGCCTAATATACGTATAGCATGACCACCTAAATATGAGCCAGTGATATGTTTATAAACACCAGATTTATAATTGAGAAAATCTTCATAAACAAAAAATGCACCTTCAACTGGACCATTCAATAGAATTTCTTTCATGATTGCAATTTCATAACCGTCTATGTTATAGGAACTTTTACCTTTGGAAATAAAAAACCGAATAGAATACAATGTAAATTGACTGATATTTACATAATTAATCTTTTAAATCATGAATTGTTCTATGTTAGAATACCATTAGAAACTTGGAAGCATTTGACTGCTGTTTCGTCCAGCAGTGCGCATCCATGACTCCTGCAGCTTGCGGGATTTAAACCCCGGACCTTTCGTCTTGCGCGCGAACGTCTAATCTCTGGACCACTGAGCGGGTATCTTACGGTGTTAATAACTAGTTACAATCAATTCGCGATCTTGCGAACGAGTGTTGCTTCAAACCCGAGTAGGGTTGAACTCCACTGATCACGACTTCTCAGTAGAACTCAGAGATAATTCCTCCCGCAGGTAGTCACTAGTGAACACATGCAATCTGCACTATATTTTTATGAATTCAAATAAATCATCACAATGAACATAGTAACGGAATATATGTGTATGCCGTCAACGATCAATGGCTATCAATCAATATTCAATGGATATTTTAAATTCAAATACAATTCTATTGAATATTGTCAACATAGAAAAAATTCATTGAAATTCATATGTATCGGTTTTTAAGACAGTAAAATCGAGACAAAATGAATACCAACCACAGAACTGAATGCCTGACTAAAACTGTCATATGCTATAACATCTCATAAAAAGTCACTCATGTACTGTCAAACAATAGAAACTGTTGAAATCATGAACAGATGAACTACTGAAGACCTGAGAGTATTTGACAGATTAATCGTTATGGTATGGGATTCTCCGGAAGTTAATATCTTCTATTCATCTCCAAAGGCTCTCAGATGACTGCGCGTGTATAATCTCCGTCAAGGAAAGCCTAATTACGGCTTTTTTTCTGACATTGATGTTCTTCGCGAAATCCAGAGGACAGAAGTTGATGTCTGACTAGCACTTGAACTAAGTTGACGGGTACGGAGAATACAACCAATTAGCGGTACATATGGACTCCGAATATGTGTAGAAATTTGTGGAAATTTGAATGCCTCAGTTTTATCTGAGGTTTGTGCTAATGACGTTGGTCAGAAGAAAAACAATGAAAGCTACACAACCAAAACATCGAGGTGAGAGAAGGAAACTCCAAAGTAAGCGATATATCTCAGCATTAAGAACTAAACACATATGACACTGGTTACTACTCAATGCAATCAAGTAGTTTATATTTAAATGAACTTATACTACCGAAAGTAATTCGGTATGAAAATTTGTTAACTTTCATATATGAAAACAAAGTTTTAAGCGATTTCGAATGTGGTTAGGTTCTCTGAGTTTATTACTTCAGTTAGAAAGCTTACACTATCCTTCTAGATAACTTCATCCTAACAAACTTAATATACTAACCATATAAGCAATCATTATGCTGCGCAGTCATCACTAATTGTCTTCGTTATTTTTAGTGAGGAGCCATGAAAAGAGGGGCCCAACCGTGTTGGGTTTGACGCAGCTACCCTTTGAAGATAATAGATGATTGTAGCGAAATGTTGTGGATTGGTCCAAGTTAGACATGAACGCCATTGAACGTCGGCTCAAAGATTAAGAGGTTGAGCATTCACGCACCTGACCTTGAGTCCCGACTTACACTCTCGCTAGCGGGGATCGTGAATGAACAAAGCCCACAAGTCTCATAAAAGAACAAAGAGTCTGTCCAATGCTTCCATGTTTTTAATGATTATGTAACAGTGATCGACACACTATTTCAATAAAACTCAACAATCTCTACAACCTTATACTAACGATACAACCAATCAATCGATTACTGTACATTGTCCAAATCTGTTTAAAAAATCTTTGGATTTAAAGTATCCTAACTCATTGACAATATTGTCACAACCATAATACATCATTAGAGAGTACTCACCATAAAATTTATCTTTTTTATAACTTTTTCGATAATCATGTTGACATGTTGTATAACATTCCGGTGTTGAGTAATATTGACCTTCACAAGGTGGATACATCTGTGAAGTGGATTGATGATGATTACATTTAGGAAATGGATATGGTTGACATCCAGAAGGTGTTTCATTTGATCCACCAGTAACAATACCTTCATACTTCCAATAATCCCATGCTAATCCTGGTAGACCACCATTACAACCGGAACCACATCTTGTACAACAACTAAGTAGATTGACAGCACTTAATTCAACTGAGATTCTACTGTTTGAATGAATACAAATACGATCACTCATTGATTCAACTGCTCCGAATGCCTGTATCAGTAAAATATATAATGTATGTAATTAAATATGAAATCGATAAAGAAAAAGTGAATACCAGAGATGCATGTTTTACATAGATAAACGATTTTGAATTTCTGCTTCCGCTTATAGACTGTCACACCACGAAAAAAGTCGATTTCACAGGAGACCACTCCATTAACCTTGGACTTGGAGCTCTAAACCACAAGGTAGTATACCGGTGTCAGGAAATGCATTCTCACGATAGTAGATAGTCAACAATCAGTCCATACGTCATTAATTCTAGTTTTCCATATGTATAGAGAGTATTTGAACTCTTCTAGCTGTATACTCTGTACCCGCTTACTCTGAGTCAAGCACCGGTTGGACGTCGGCTTTCCTGAAGAATACGAACTTACTTACGCTGGTTACTCCTAGTCGAGTGTAGGCCGCTGACTACTTCCGTTTCTGTCTCCACTCCTCTGGGTCATGTGTTCCTTGGCCTTCCTCTTTTCCTTGTTTCTTGTGGATTGAAGCTGTGAGTAAGGCATTTCTGATATTGATTATACATGCCTGGCCATAGGAGAGCCATTGGAGAAGCACAGCAGACTGCTCTAATCTTGGCCGTACCAAGGCACTGGGGGGTCAGTTTTTAGTATTCCTTAAATGGTTGACTAAGTTGATCAATGAATACAACTACACAGTAAATGAACATATTATTTTCCGAATAATATGCTCAAACAACATTTGGAATACAAATCTGAGTACACATTAAAGGATTATTTACACTATCAGACTTCGTCCGTTTATAGTAAAAACGTAATAAGTTACAGCATGTTACCATGCCTATTTATTGAGATTGATAAAACCTGAAGTCACTTGCAGTCAGCTCAACAGATTGTGATGTTTAATGTATAAATTACAAAAAATTCAACGCTCAATAGATTTACTTACTCATTATTTTAAGTAAGCAATATAAATCCAAATATAAGTTTACAATTAAAAAAACATCACACAGTTCATAGTTCAATGAACAATTATTATCCGGAGTTTAATCTTTCCTTTTGGAATGATAACTAGTCTAATCTAAGAAAAAGCCATCCCCAAAAGGACATGATCCTGCCATCAAAATTACGAATCAATCAATATTAGACTACCATTAAAAACCTGGATGCATTTTACAGTCATTTCGTCCTTGTATGGGACTCACCACTAGTGTGTATTGACGATACTAACATCCTGAATCGAACCGTAGACCTTTGATCTCGCGCGCGAAAGTCTAATCACAAACCGGCATCCAACGGTTTTAATATCTAACTTTACTCAATGTCTGACATTGTACAACCTATCTTCGGTAGTCACTACCTACACCTACATGATTCTCTATTTTGTAATCATATCAAAACAATACATTTCATTGCATCATAAAAAACTCAAAAATTATTTATTACCCAACAAGAACCACATGATGATTGATCACGAATTGTTCGTATACTTTGACAATTTTTCCAACGTTTTCGTGAATCAAAAAATTTTGGTATTCTCATATTCACATCATTATGATTAATTGTTGGACGTAATCTTGCTCTTTGATTACTATCTTCAAATAGAACACCCATCATTGTTTTAGCATCTTCAATTGTACTAAATCGATTTGTTCTTTGAGCTTTCCATCCAGCATCTGGCTAAAATTTATATATAACAAATGAAAAGTTATTCATTTAGATAGCCGATAAGATACCAATGTACTATTCTTGTTATGCCTTATACGGCGTCTCACATCTGAACATGATACGTGCTAATCCCCAAAAGTGACTACTTAAACAGACAGGCAACAGTGGAGGAGAAAGCCGATCTGGTTACTGCATCATATTCATGAATACTCATACTCATTTCTGATTGTCATCAGTTAACCTTCTCAATCGATCATTTTCGATTAACTCTCTACATGAATTCTACTCAGTGTTCTTGTCATTAGAATGGTACACTGATACACGGACACTCATTAGCTTACAAATCATCTCTCTCTTTTCTCCTTTTCAGAACCCCATTCACGGTGGGAAATCTTTGGCGACTCTAGGGAACATGCACCCTATGTACATGACTGTCTGGTTCACAGCTCGTATCAAGCGTGACCTTTCCCAACAAATTCACTATTGATCTCAACGAATCACCAAAAGAAACTATTGTGCACCTTCGTTATTTGTACTCTACTATTGAAAATGTAGTTGTATTATACTGTATATATACTGTATAAATACGGTATCAGAAACTAACTGTGATAATTAATTTAACTGCTATAACTTTTACAGTAATTCTGAAAGCGTTTGCGACAATTTGATCTAGCTTGTAAACTGGCATGCCGCTTGTAACGTAGTTGTTTGAGAATAAATATATTATTATTACTATTATTATTATTATTATTATTATTATTATTATTATTATTATTATCAAACTCTCAATGAATAGAATCCATCATTTTTCAAAATATACTAGCCAGCATGATTGTGAATGGAAAAAAAACACTTTCAGTCATTTCTCAAAATTGAAGTTAATGTGTAAATTGTGTAAATTCGGTCAAGAAATTGGACTGACAAACACAAATGAAAAAATATTTGCAATACACTCTTACATTAACTTACATGCTGATTAATAAATGTGATCAATTCATCAGAAAGTGGAGAAAATAATGTTTCATTCTGTTGAACAATTTGACAATATTCAATGTCCAAGAATAATACAATGTTAATAATTATAAGAAATAAAAACATGATATGTTGTTTTGTTGTTTGTAGATTTTTTCTAAAATAACTATATTATATTCTCAATATTTCATAATATATAAGTATATATATATATATAACTAGTTGAAGTATCAAAAAAGTGAACTTTGAACAATGATCAAATGCTGAAATCTGTTGTTTAACATTTTTAGATTACAGGTAGAGCAATTAAATAACATGTATTATTTAGTTGAAAGATGTTGTTTCATGGTATAGAGTAGTATCATCGAATAAAATATATTATTTGGAATTTATATTTGAATAAGTGGTTAGTTTATAAGTTAAAATTCAACCTTATTCAAACAATAAAATCAATATGAAATATGTCAAGATAGTTCTACTATATGAGGCAGAAACTTGGAGAACTTCAAAAGACATAAGATACTAGGGTTCGTTGACAATTGTCTACGTAAATTACTTCTGTTAGGTTGACTGGACATCATCAGTAACAATCTACTGTGACAGAGAACAAATCAGATCTTATCGGAGGAAGAAATCAGGAAAATATGCTGAAGGTGAATAAGACATACCTTGAGAAAAGCACCAGATTGCGTTACAAGGCAAGCCCTCACTTAAAATCCTCAAGGCCAACGAAAAAGAGGAATACCAAAGAACACATTACGCCTGGAAATGAAGACATAAATGAGAAGAATGAACAACACTTGGACAGAACTAGAAAGTAAGTTTGAGGACACAGTATGTTGGAGAATGCTATTCGGTCACCTATGCTCCGTTGTGAGGTAACAGGCGAAAGTAAATAAGTAAGTAGGTACACAAATAATACTACTGAAAATTTCAAAGTGACATTTTACCATATATTTGATATTTTATTTAAAACGACCGCGTTAATTTTTCTAATTGATTATTGATACCATTTTGTATGTTTGTCAATGAACAGTGAGCGCCGGTTTTGTGAGTAAAGAGATCAAGATCAGATGGAATAGTAGTGTATTTAGAGAACGTGCGTAGTTTACTGATAGGATCTATACACCTCAGATTTAGATTAACATTTGCGAAATAATCAGGTTTTTCGACTGTCTTCTACCATGTATCTCCTTTCTTAAAAACAATTTGGTTGCAACGAACATTCCGATCCGACACTGTTCTCTCTTGCAATAACTTTTGGGTAACACTCAACTGTATACTACTTACAAGCCACGTTGCGAGTAGTATTCTCTACACTTGTGATAACTAAGAAATTAGATAAAATTAACATCTATTGAAATCAATTCATGTTGAATAAATGAACTATTTGAATTTCTTCACATATTACTGGCACCTTGTCATGCTGATCGTGATCTTAATTTGTGATTGTTAATTTTGTCATTATCCATATCTTTATTTTAACTATCATCACCTTTTGACTTGATTTGAAATCTTTCATTTAAACAAAACGAAATAATGAACAACAAACAAACAATGTTCATTCCACTGATTCCCTTCATAAATTTCAAGAAAGAAAATGACAAAATATTTGCAAGCATTCAATGAACTTATAATATTTCGTAACTTCTTCATCATCGTTTCAGAATCGTAAAATGATGTTACCATCTAATTTTTAATCAGTTTTAGTGGTTACACAACACTGTGGATTGATTGAAGTTAAATATTTGCATCGTTGAATTCTGGCTTATCGATCTGAAAGTTGGGCTTTCATGCGCGAGGCTGAAGGTCGTGGATTTAATGGTTAGATGCACTTGGTTGATGAATCTCATATTGTAACAAAACGTTTGTCCAATGTTTCCAGGTTTATAATGAATTTGTAACATTGATCGGTTCAAAATTTCAATAAAATTATCAATAAGTTATGTGCAGTAGACAAAAGTAGTTAAAAAAGGGAGATTTAAAAAAAATACATTCTCTTTATAATTGCTTAAAGTTAAGAAACTTATATATAAAGATCATGTTTGTACTTGTATGTTGTAATGATTTATGAAAAATTTTAACTGAAGTCTTTATTGAACATTTTCGATGAATTCAATAAATCCACATTGTCCCTTGTGTTTTTTAAGTTGGACACTGTTGAACATCCTACTTACAGATGTCGGCTTTTTGAAATATACTTTGAAATATCTTTTTATCTCTCTCTCTCTCTCTCCGTAGTATACTTATATTGATGTGAACAGTCATTTCGAAGATATAATTATATAATTTATTAACTGTTCATTCAACCTTCCTTTGTGCATTTTCATAACGTGTACATGTCCTATCTACATGTATTGCCATTTACATTGTTGTAATTGAGGAATGTAACTCCGCCTTTAGAACCTCCGGATATACTATCAGTCCGAAGTCCGGATAAAGGATGAGGGTTGGGCATAGGGATGGTGACCCAATCCCACCAAAAAAACAAACTTGCCGAAAAAACGCTAACCAGAAAAAATAAATCAAAACATTTTAATTCTGCCCTGAGAGTTGGAAGAAGTATTATGACGTCTCGTGATGAAAGCCGAGTTCCCTCGAAGTCACGAGGCCAGAGCCTCTTCTGACAACCAGAGAAACCATTCCTTTAAGTACACGGAGCGTTCGAACACTGTGGGAGACCGGAAGACTATTTCAAGATGCTGCAGAAATGAAAAGATACAACCTGGTGGTGCTTGAAATTCGTGAAACGCATTGAACACAGCTAGGGCAACTGAAACCAGCTTCAAGGGAACTGCTGTAATACTCTGATCATGAAGAGGAAAATGCTTCACATACACAAGAAGTTGCACTGATGCTGTCCAAACAAGCACATAAGGCATTGGAATGATTGAAATCTCAATGGACCCAGGATCATTAGAGCACCCTTCAAAACAAAGAAAGAGGACATTAAAATGAACCTCATCCAATGTTATGCACCTACCAACAATCACAATGATGGCGAAAAAGATCAATTCTACGAAAGGCTGCAGTCAGTCGTTGACAGATGCTCACCAAAGAATTTGACTATTTTAATGGGAGACCTGAATGCCAAGGTTGGCATGGACAACACTGGATACGAAGACATCATGAGACGACATGGACTGGGAGAAAGGAACGAAAACGGTGAGAGATTTGCAAACCTATGTGCCTTCAACAAACACTATTCCCACATAAGTGCATACATAAAGCTAAATGGATTTCAATACTCTGAACCAAATTGACTACATCTGTTGAAAAGGGATCGAAGAAGCAATCACTTCAACATGTCACAAGGTTCTGGGTCACAAAACGTACCATCACAAGGAATGGATCTCTAGATAAAAATTGAAGAAACGAGGAACAAGAAGGCAGCAGTCAACGTCAGCCAAACAAGAACAGAGAAAGTCAAGGCACAAGCTGCATACACAGAAGCAAACAGGGAAGTGAAGAAGATCATTAGAGCCAACCAGTGAAAAGGACGGAAGGCAAAGTAATCAGCAACACTGAAGAACAGCCGAACAGGTTGATAGAGCAATTTAAGGAACTCTTGAATCGACCAGCTCCAACGATCCCATTCAACATCGAAGCAACATCTTCTGACCTTCCAATGTTGTTCGATGTTGGCGTACCAACAATTGAGGAGATCAGTATGGCCATCAGACAAGTCAAGAGCGGCAAATCAGCAGGACCAGACAACATTCCAGCAGAGGCAAGCGAAGCAGATGTGGAAGCAACTGCAGAAATATTTCACATTCTCTTCAAGAAGACTTCGGATATGGAACAAGTACCATCAGATTGGAAAGAAGGATACCTCATCAAAATACCAGAGAAAGGGGATCTGAGCAAGTGTAAGAACTACAGAGGCATCACTCTTCTTTCAATACCAGGTAAAGTCTTCAACAGGGTATTGTTAAACAGAATGAAGGACTTCTTAGACGCCCAAGGATCGATCGTGTACCGACCAAACTGCAACACTACGGATCATTGTGGAACAATCAATTGAATGGAACTCACTACTGTACACCACCTTCATCGACTACGAAAAAGCATTTGATAGCGTGGATAGGAAAATACTGTGGAGGCTTCTTCGACACTACGGTGTGCCTGAGAAGATAGTTAACATCATACGGAATTCTTATGATGGATTCAACTGCAAAACCGTACACGGAGGACAGCTAAAAGACTCTTCCGAGGTGAAGACCGGTGTCAGGCAAGGTTGCTTACTCTCACCCTTTCTCTTTCCCCTGGTGATCGACTGGATTATGAAGACGTCAACATCTGGAGGGAAGCACGGTATTCAATGGACAGCTAGGACGCAGCTAGACGATCTGAATTTTGCAGATAAACTGGTTCTTCTATCTCACACGCGACAACAAATGTGTGAGAAGACGACCAATGTAGCAACAGCCTCTGCAGCAGTAGGTGTCAACATGCAAACACATGCACAGCACATGCACCAACCAAATGGAGATGCCTTGGAGGACGTCAACAACTTCACATAACTTGGCAGCACTATCAACAACCAAGGTGGATCCGATGCAGATGTGAGGGCCAGATCGGCCAGCCAAGGGCTGCATGTCTACAGTTGAAAAATATCTGGAACTCCAAACAACTTTCAACCAAAACCAAAGTCAGGATTTTCAATAAAAATCTGAAGATAGTTCTACTGTGTGGAGCGGGAACTTGGAGAACTACGAAAGCCATCATCCAGAAGATACAAGTATTTATCAACAGTCGTCTACGCAAAATACTTCAGATTCGTTGGCCAGACACTATCAGCTACAACTTAATGTGGGAGAGAACAAACCAGATTCCAGTGGAGGGGGAAATCATGAAGAAGCAGCGGAAGTGGATAGGACACACACTACGAAAAGCACATAACTGCGTCACAAGACAAACCCTCACTTCGAACCCACAGGGTCGAAGGAAAAGAGGAAGGCCAAGGAACACATTGCTCCGAGAAATAGAGAAAGATATGAGAAGAATGAACTAAAACGGGAAAGAAATGGGAAGGAAAGCCCAGGACAGAGTTGGTTGGAAAATATTGATGGGCGGCCGCTGCTCCACTGGGGGTGACAGGTGTAAGTAAGTTAGTAAGTAATGAGAAATAAAATGTCTCGAACATACAAGGAGCTTCACGAATTCTATCTAAA